AGAAAACAATTATTTTTGCATTGATTTCAAAGGTCAGAAGAAACAAAAAAAAAATTCATTTGAAAAGGGATTTCTCGAAAAGAAAACGGGTCAAATCACCGATTCTGACGTTTTTTTTTCGCGAAGATTCGGTCACTCGTTTTTCTCTTGCAATTTTTTTTTTTTGCCGAATCGACCCTTTCACGTGGGAACTAAGGGCTTTCTTTAAAAAAAAACCCCCAAAAATTACCTATCCTGCATGGCTTTGTTTGACTAGAATTACCCAAATTCTCTGGGATTTGTGTAATCTGGTTTTTTTTGAATGATTTCAGCATTGTTGACATTTTTTTGCGATTTTCTTTACTAAAAAGAAAAAACTTTCTGATAAGATCTATAAGAGAGATCTTAAAAGAATTAGATCTTATTTCCATGTCAAATCTGCCCTATTCGTTAATCTTTTTTACCTGTGTTTCCTAACTGTAGTGTTACTGTACTATTTTTAGTTTTCTCTCTTTTTTTTTGTGAAAGTATTTTAGCAATATGTTATAGGCGGTTATGATTATCTGGTTCGCTTCTATTCGCCCATGAATGCATATATATATAATATTATAATAATGGGGACCATCTTCGCCGCCGGGTCGCCTCCTCCCGACTAAGGCGCCGTCCGTGGCTATGGCTCGGGCTTATCGCTTGTTTGGCGGTTATGATTATCTGGTTGTTCTATTCACTTCCTGAATAAAGCATATATATGTTGTGTCCGATTTAGATTCCGCGATTAGATTCAATCTAAATCGGACGTCCGATTTAGATTGAACTTATCGCGGACGTCCGATTTAGATTACAGTCTATATCGGACGTTCGATTTAGACTCAATCTAAATCTTATATAGATTGAACAATAATATAAACATGCTTAATATATATTCTTAAGGGTTTTCTGTAGTTTTCTGCATTTTTCAAAGGTCTTTTATTGATTACAGTCTATATCGGACGTCCGATACAGATCGAACAATAATAAACGTGCTTAACATATGTTCTTTGAAAAGCGCAGAAAATTGCAAAAAACGCTTAAGAACATATATTAAGCACGTTTATTATTGTTCGATCTGTATCGGACGTCCGATATAGACTGTAATCTAAATCGGACGTCCGATTTAGATTGAATCTAAATCGGACGGAAATCTAAATCGGACACAACATATATATATAAGAATATAAAATAGATTCACAAATGATAAAAGAAATTAAATCCAAGCATTTTTTTTCAAATTGTTTATTGCCTTTCTTCAAATCAATGTTTTCAATTATTGTGCTTTATTTTTTTCGGATTCTGTAAAATCCAGCTTTCTAAGTAAGTTTATGCAATTTTTTTGAGTCTTTTCAACTTGTTGCAAGTTTGTAGTGCAGCTTTTATTTGATTTTCAAGTGTACTCACTTTTGATATTATGCTGTGCGTGCAAAAAAAGTAGCAAATCATGAACTAGATTTATCAAAAACTTATTGAAACTATTGCCAATTAATTAGCTTATTTGTTTACCATAAATGAAAAGAAAATGACCAACACAACCACTTAAAGCGTTAGATTTGATTAAAGAAGTGAAGGAATTGGCAAGATAAAGTAGATTCCCGAAGATTGAGCCCTCATTGAACCCTGCTTTCCAGGCAATTGCAGCTATTGATCATCTATCATTGAGCTATTTGATACCTTAACTTGCCAAGAGAAAGAAAGAAAGACAAGAGAAAGAAAGAAAGGAAGAAAGACAAGGGAAAGAAAGAAAGGAAGCAAGAAAGAAGGGAAAATCAATCCAAAAATAGTACCCAGATTCACTATTGTGCATTGAACTGTCACTATTGTCTTATTGTTTCAAGAGTCAATGAATTTCAGTATCAACAACTATTAAAGATTAAAATTCTATAAAAATTTTGCAATTAGCCAGTATCCTGCTGCGTTCGCAATGAAATAAAACACTTTGCAACTCCAAAAAGTTCATTAAACTTCCTGAAACTGAAGCTCATTTGCCTCTAGACTCACATGATCATTTGATCATTTGCAAATTGTCTAATCTCCAGATATCCAGCTATTTTTTTGAATTCACTGGATGCTGATGGGTCTCTAGGGATTTCTTCGATAAAGAGGCCCAAAAATGGAGAAGCTTTCCTCTTCGCCTCAAAAAAATGTCTAATTGGTAGCCACCTGTGGCTCTCTTTTTTTTTTTTCCTTGGGAACCACATTCCGATTCTTCTTTTTATCCATCTTTTTTTGTTTGCTTTTCCCCTTCGCGAACACAATCTACAGCTGAATTCTTTTTACATTCACGTTTTTCTTCTCAAATTCTATTCTGAAAGCTTTAAAAATGTTTAAGAATTCGAAATTTGATTGAAATTTCTTTTGAAAGCAGACATTTTTGACTGAAATTTCTTTTTGGAAGCAGATTGTCTGTGTCAAAACTTGATGTACTTTATTGCTGTAAAATTTGAAACACATTCTTTCTTGTGCACTTAATTTTCCACTTTCGAGAAATTGAAGAATTAAGTGTGCCAGAAAGATTCTAAATATCTTGAATCCTTTGAAAGTTAGATTGTAAGTTAGAAGATTTTTGTTCTGAAGATGCTTGCTTGCTTTGCTGGATCGCTTGCTTTGCTGGCTTGCTTGCTTAGCTACCTTGCTTGCTTTGCTACCTTGCTTGTTTAGCTGGCTTGCTTGCTTAGCTACCTTGCTTGTTTAGCTACCTTGCTTGCTTAGCTACCTTGCTTGCTTTGCTGGCTTGCTTGCTTAGCTACCTTGCTTGCTTTGCTACCTTGCTTGCTTTGCTGGCTTGCTTGCTTAGCTACCTTGCTTGCTTAGCTACCTTGCTTGCTTTGCTGGCTTGCTTGCTTGCTTTGCTGACTTGCTGACTTGCTTAAATAGGGAAAAGAAAAAGAGTATCTTTCTTTTGTAAATTAAAAAGATATTAACTAAAGAAAAAAAGTTCTTCATCTATTATTTAAAATACCGAAAAGATAAATGATTAGAATTAAATCAAAAAGACATTTGATCAGTGATCTAGCGTTAGACGAAGGCGTGTCAAAATCCCTTTGATGTTCAGCTTTAAATCTAAGACTTTAAAACTTTGTCAGTCTGTTTTTTTCTACATAAAACCCTCGGATAAGCCGAAAACTTTCATTTCTAGAAATTTCTGTTTGTTTTCTTCAACTTCTTTTTGCAGAAGCCCCGTGGGCGGAGTTCTCTAAGAGAAATTTTCAAAAGTTCAAAAAAAAATGAAAGAAATAGAGTTTTACTTTTACTTTTACGATCAGGGCGTATCATTTGGCTTATCGGTTTTCTCTTTTTCTTTTCCGCTTTCTTTGATGACTCAATCTTATTTATTCAGAAAGCGTATCAATTGGTGACCGGGTCTTTCTTTTTAGTCTATTTCGGAGTTAAGATAACTCCAAAATCTCTAAATAAACCAATTAAACATCATTTTCTTATTAACACTTTATTCAATATTCTTTTCTTGAGCTCTACATTTGTTCTTGATTCGATTATGCCAGCTTGTTTGAGTTTACACCCTTCAATTGTTAATCAGCTTTGTCTTCTTGGTTCTTTACGCTTCAAACGTAAACACACCATTTCTCGCGTACTCAATCTCCATTTTTAAGAACCCAGTTCTTTACTAAAAACCCAGTACAACAGGAAATTCAAGATTGATGGCGTACTTTGTGCTTTCAATTGTAAACACAACCTTTCTAACGCACTCAATGTTTTTCGATCAATTGAGATAGAAACCTAAGCCTAAGCCTAAGCCTAACCAGAAAATGGGGGTTCAGCCCAAACCCAAATAGACTTAGTGCTAGGCGCTAGCCGCTAGCCTACGCACTAAGTCCAAGCCTAAGTCCAAGCCTAAGCCTAAGCCTAAGCCTAAGCCTTAGCTGTACAAGAAAAATGGGAGTTTAAGTGCGCCAGAAAGGACGTGTTTACTCTTTTTCAGCAAAAAAATACATCTAAATGGCGTAAAGTTGCTTTTAAATTTAGCTAATCGTCTCAAATATTCACTTTTCATATCTAAAAATTCGATGATCAAGCCAAAACAAAATTTTTCCAAAATTTTTCCAATATTTTGTGCAATGACTAATTCCTATCGCATTTTTGGGATCCGGAAATGAGCTAATATGGGAAAATTCTGGTTTTTAGAGAAGATAGAAGTCTTTTTTTTTTAGAAAAGGTGACTGCTGCTTATCTTTGTATTCTTTTAGAGAGACAAACACACGCAGATTTCTTTCTTTTCTACCCATTGACGTGTCCACTTATCAATGCTTTCAACTATGTCTCCCACCCAAATTTATTGGGTTTTCAATTTCTCAATGTTTTTGACTGCTTGGAGATTCTGGAGAACTTTGGAAATTTTACTTTAACTGCTGAGAGGTTCTTTGTTCGACCGCGTAATCGCTCGCCGTCTGGCATATCCTCCAGATAGATAGGTGCTCCCATTGAAATCCTGAGATCTAATACACCAGTCCTAGAAAGATAGGTGCTCCCAATAGATAGGTGCTCCCAATAGATAGGTGCTCCCACTCGAAATCCTGAGATCTAGTACACTAGTCCTAGCCCAAGCCACAAATTGATAGTCCGATTCGCATTCTCCCATCAAAAAAAAGTTAACAAATTCAAGTGTTCTGGTATCATTTTCGATTCTTTTACTTCATGATTTCCTTTTCTTTACCCACTTCTCAATATCCAGAGAAATCTCTTTCCCTTTCATTTATTTCATCAAAAAGTCTCTGTGTACTCAGGATTGGCAAAACCCTCTTGAATTTCTTCACCGAAACACAAAAATCTCCGTTTTTTTCCCCGAAATCTAAAAAACACCTTTATTCTTTAATAATAAGCTGAATGAGCTAAAGTTTTGACGAAATTTGAATTATTGTTATGATTTTGATTGATTAGATATTGATTTTCTTCAGTAATTAGATTGATTTAAAATGTTTTCCCATTCAGTAACCCAATCGAGGGAGTGGTTTCTGGAGAGCAATCTGGGCACAATGCCCAGCATCGTACAGGTAGCTTTTCTTTTCAAATTTCAAGAAATCGAAAACTTCTTTAGCTTCACAACAACGCGATGCATCCACGGGGTTTTAACGACGAAATTCCGGTGGATTTGGAGGGAGGACGGTTGATCGATATGACACAAGTGAGTAAAGAAAATTAAAAAATTGCTAAGCTTTTCATTTTTATCAAAATCAAAGGAAGATATTGAATAAGTATATAATATAATGAGAATTTTCAGGAAGAAGAGGTCGATTCAGCAGACGGAGCGCGTGTGAGCATAATGACATATCGAATTGAGACGCCGGATGGGAGTGAATTGACGAAAACCGTGAGGAGAAAGGTTTGTGATCAAATCTTCTCATTCTATAGTGTTTCTTTCTATAAAAAGGATCATTTTCTCAAAAAAGAAACTCCAGTTGATAGTTTTTTTTTCGTTTAGTTATTTCAAATCAATGGAGATTTGATTCATTAGACTTCACTAGATTCATTAGACTTCACTAGATTCATTAGACTTCACTAGATTCATTAGACTTCACTAGATTCATTAGACTTCACTAGATTCATTAGACTTCACTAGATTCATTAGACTTCACTAGATTCATTAGACTTCACTAGATTCATTAGACTTTAAACGTGCTTTAAACATTAGACATTACATTAGACATTACATTAGACATTAGACATTGCTGCTCTCGAAAACAAAATGAAAACAAAATCTTAGCTAGCAAAAATGTGCCAATTTTTGTTAGCTAAGATAAGCACGAATTTGCAATAATGAAGTACAAAATGCACTACTTTTATATTAATTAACTCTAAAAATTATTTAATTAATAATAAAAAGAATGCTAATTAATTAAATTTTAAAACTTATTAATGCAGAAAAAGATGAAAAAAAAAGAAGATTTTAACTAGAATTTAACTGTTCTTTTTGCATCTTTTGCATAGCATTTTTGTACTGCTCGGTTAGGGTTGCTAAAGTTATTGGGTTGGTGAATTGAAAACTGCGGGACTTTGAACTAAAATTTATTCAACATAAAACCATAAATTCATTCCAAATAATTTCCATTATTATTGACGACTTCTGCCCATTTTACAGGCAATTTGCGGATTCCTCTTTCGTAGTAGGATTTTGGTTTGTGTGTGAGACAAGTGTGAGACTCAAAAATGGAGGGATGTCCCAGTTTGAGCACCTTCTTCAAAAGAAACCCATTTTGGTGTCAATAGAAAAGTTGTAGAGAATCAAAAATGAGGCTTATAGCCAAATTTCCAAAAAGATACACTTAGTAGTTTTGCTTAAAATGCAAGTTTTGTGAAAATTTGTAAATTTCGCATTTGTTGAAAACCAATTTTTGAATCGTTCTGAAAATTTGGATATAAGCTTGATTTTTGATTTTCTACAACTTTTCCATTGACACCAAAATGGGTTTCTTTTGAAGAAAGTGTGAGAACTGTGACATATGACAATAGCCGGCAGTTTTCAATTCACCAACCCAATATATTGACTATTTTAACGATCATTTGATGCAGAATGAAATTACGCATCGAATGACACCAAAAACAACTTAAAATATAATATTCATGCAAAATGAAATATTGGTCAAAATACGGCTGAAAAAATGCCCGTACAGTAAGGCAGACAGAAAGACAGACAGAAAGACAGACAGAAAGACAGACAGATACCGTAACCCCCTCCCGTCCCCTCCCCTCCTTTTCCGCCGTTTCATTTGTGAAAATTCGTAAATTTGGCATTTCTTGAAAACCAGTTTTTGAATCGTTCTGAAAATTTGGATATAAGCTTGATTTTTGATTCTCTACAACTTTTCCATTGATACCAAAATGGGTTTCTTTTGAAGAAAGTGCTCAAACTGTCACATATGACAATAGCCGGCAGTTTTCAATTCACCAACCCAATATTAAAAAAATATTACAGTACCTCTATTCTATGTAAAATTATGTAGATTGATCTATGTAGATTTTATGTTTAATTGTTATTTTTCAGCTTAGGTTAATGTATTGTCTTAGAAAGCGAAAAAGATCCATTAAACGCAGCACTATATATCCCGCATCAATCAATCTTCAATACTGAAGATTGTTTAAGGAAAACTCGAATTTTTAAGCAAATTTACCCCAAAAAAAGGCCTCTGATCGAAGCTTTGAGTTCAAGAGAGTAAAAAAGAGTTTTTTTTTCGGCATGCATCTCGAATCAAATCCCTTTTCGATGGGACTCTTATGGGTTTTTTTGCAAAAAAAACCCCTGCAGACATCCAAGAACCACTTGCATTAAGGCATATGTTTTTTTGAATAAATTGACCTAACACAGCAACTTTAAAAAAGTCGAAAAATGAAAGTGATTCAAGCTGATGACCGAAAATTTACTCTCCCCAAAATTTCCACTACCTAAATGGGACTCAAGTGCAATACTTTGCTACTGCTACTACTTTACTACCAAGCTATCGGAAAAGTCTGATGAATGCTGATGCTTGAATGATTTCTTTTCATTTTCCCGGATGACCTCTTCCTTTTTTTTTCCTCAAAAAGATTTCCTAAACATCTCTAACTCTTCTTTCTCTTTTCTTTTCTTTTCTTTTCTTTTCTTTTCATCTCTTATCATCATTTTTTTCTTTGAATACCCCTAAATTATAAGCGTTTCCCCTTCAAGAAAACTTTGCGATAAGAAAAAAATCGGAAAAATTCGATTTGATTGAATTCTGAATGGCTTTCTCATCAAGAAAATTCACGAATGACGATCATCAATCGCGCAGTGTCACTCAAATGAGGAGTGAGGTTGAGATTTTGATTCAATTTTAATGGTCTTAATGATAATAATGTCTTTATATTGTAACTAAATCTATTTTCCAACTAGTACTACACCATAATGCTAAAGTATGGTACCGTAATTCCTCAAAAAAGCTCACGATTTTCGAATCTTAAATATCATTTGGTTTTTAAAAGCAAGAATTTCTTTCCAATCTTCCTTTTTGGATTTTTAGATGCAATATTAGAGGTTGGGGCCCAGAAAGGGGAAGGGTCTGTGGTCACCCTCCGATCCAAGTTGAGCAAGTCGGCGCGGGTTGTCGTGGGTTCGACTCCCATGGGTCCCTCGGCGCCCCAGCCCGGTCATCGGAGTATCTCGGCTACGACAACTACACTCGCCTCAGTAAATGTGGAAGGGGTTGTGATCTCGCTAGTGCGAAAATTTTATTAGGGTTATATTCTCTTTTTCGTTAAAGAGAATATAACCAACTTTGCAATCTTTGATTACAATTTTTATTCTAAAGTTTTAGCCTAAGCCTTTAGAGCTTTAGAGCTTTTAGATGCTAGCGGTTATATTCTCTTTAACGAAAAAGAGAATATAACCGCTAGCAGTAAGCTCTAAATTAGGCTAAAACTTTAGAATGAAAATTGTAATGAAAGATTGCAAAGTTGGAAAGTTGCAAAGTTGCTGGTGAAAGAAAAAGTAAAGGCTTAAAACTAGCGTAACTCTCGAAGCAGATCGCTTGGTGAGTTACGGCTAGTTCTAATTGTAATCAAAGATTGCAAAGTTGGGAAGATCGCTTGGTTACTCACCAAGCTATCTGCCTCGAGAGTTACGCTAGTTCTAAAGATGTTTACCTGCAAAAAGAGTTACCAAATCATCATTTTACAGTCAAAAATTGGGGAAATTTAGAGAAGTTTCTTGATTGGATCCATCTAGATTCGCCTCTAGGGCTCTCCCAAGAAAAATTAAAATCGAAACTTTCAGTCATTTCAGTCACTTATAATATTAGTGATTCGAAGCCGGGTTTTCGTTAATGAATTTGATAATTTTATTTTAATAATTTGATAATTAATCATAATTTTATTTTAATAATTTGATAATTAATCATAATTTTATCAAATTCACCTTTGAAAACATTGAAAAAGTGAAAATTTTGAAAAATTGCGGCCATAAATCACTATTTGCATATAAATTCCCCAACTTTTCCCTAATCTGATTCACCTATTTCTCTCAAAAAGCTCTATTCCATGAGTTTTTTTTGTTTTTATTGAATTCCTCCTTTCAATAGCTTCATCATCATCTATTTTTTTTCAAGAAAATGGAATTATAAAAGCATTCGCTAGGTTTTTTTTCGTTTTCTTTACGCTTGAGTACCTTTGATTTCTTTGCTTTCTTTGCCTAGATTGCATATTTTCACATAAACATCGAGAGATCCATTAAAAAGAGCCGGCTAGAAAGGAAAACATAGAGATCGACGGGTTTTAAAGCTAAAAAATAGAGTTCAGCTATCTTATCCTCAACATTTGCAATATTGAATGAAAGATTTCTAAATTTTTTATTAAGATTTCTAAAGATTTCTAAAGATTTCTTTAGATTTCTTTAGATTTCTTTAGATTGTTCATTTACTGATGGCTGATAAAAGATTCCTTCTATAGTTGGTCGCAAACTTGTTCGCAAACTTGTTTACAAACTTGTTCGCGAACTTGTTGGTAAACTTGTTCACAAACTTGTTCACAAACTTGTTCGCAAACTTGTTCAGTTCACAAACTTGTTCGTAAACTTGTTCGTAAACTTGTTCACAAACTTGTTCACAAACTTTAACTTATTGTTAGACTTAGAAAAAAAGCATTTCAATCTACGATAAAAATTGACTCTGTTCAGTCAAAAGCAGAGTTTTTATTGTTTCTAGAATAGAAAATTCAAGCAATCAATTGGATTAAATCGATTGAACTGGCTTCGGACTGGCGCTAGCCTATCGAATTTTTTTTTGGCATTAACATAAGAAAATTAGCATAAATATACGATTTAATGAATTCTTTTTCATTGATTTCATCGAGATCAAAGTCAAAATGAATCAATAAATCAAAAAAAAAGCATACAACCTTTACAAATGAAAAATTACTCGAAATTTCTTAGCTTTCCTATCTTTTCTTAGTCAATAGCTATTAGATTCATTCTTAGCTTCTTAGCTATTAGATTCATTCTTTTCACAAGGTTTTTTTTTGAGAGAAATGGGGGTCAGCTGGGTGTCGAATTGGCCAGCAAAAGGAAATGGTTTTCCTGATTTTTTTTTTCTTTAAAGGACCCTTTCCAAGACTGGGATCAGTCTTTTCAAAAAATTTCAAGAAAAAAAAAAAAGATTTTCCAGTTCAAATCTTATTTCATTCTTTTGAATCTAAAATTCTTTAAAAGAAATGAAAATTTTTCTTTAAAATCTGTCAAAAATAGCAATAGAGCAATAGTTGAAGGTGCTCTAATTGCTCCATTGCTCTCTAAAATCTTATTTTTTTACAAGATTCCTTCACAATTTCACCACATTGAATAAGTTTTTGGCTATAGAACAACAAAAAGCGATCAATTTTTACCGTTTTTCTCCTCTCTTTTTTCTCACTATGCAAACATTGAGAGGGAAACTGATTTTTCCAAAATTCTCTTGAAAAACTCTTTGCTCAAAAAGAGAATTCAGTTGAAAACTTCCACATTTCGCGGCTTTTCCGGGATTTCTTTTCTCTTTTCCCCCTTCGATCTCAATTTTAAACATTCAACAACATCTGTGCTTTTTCTTTTCTCTTTCTGCTTAAAGAAATTCGAGAAATCTTTTAGCTTTCAACTTTTAACTTTACAAAAAATTTTAATTAAAAGACTTTACTCGATTCGATTCGATTCGATTCTATTCTATTCCATTCGATTCGATTTGATTCGATTCGATTCGATTCCATTCGATTCGGCTCCCTTCGATTCCATTTGATTCCATTTGATTCCATTTGATTCCATTCGATTCGATTCCATTCGATTCCATTCGATTCCATTCGATTCCATTCGATTCGGCTCCCTTCGGCTCCCTTCGATTCCATTTGATTCCATTTGATTCCATTTGATTCCATTTGATTCCATTCGATTCGATTCCATTCCATTCCATTCCATTCCATTCGATTCCATTCGATTCCATTCGATTCCAATCGATTCCATTCCATTCCATTCCATTCCATTCCATTCGATTCCATTCCATTCCAATCGATTCCATTCCATTCCATTCCATTCCATTTTCGACGTAAACTTTTCTGCTCTTTATACTTTGTAATTCAAGAGTAAAAACCCTCATTATCTGGCGCACTGTTTTCAATCTTTTTATTCAAGTTTACAAGAAAAAAAAAACAAAGATTTAAGTGCGCTAGATCATTGTGTGTTTCAAGTTTTTGCGCACAAAGTATAGCTTAAAAACAGCAATTTCAAATAAGCTTTATTTTCTTTATCTGTTTTCTTAACTTTCTTCAATTTCTTAACGTTCTTCAATTTCTTAACGTTCTTCAATTTCTTAATTTCCTTCAATTTCTTAATTTCCTTCAATTTCTTAATCTCCTTCAATTTCTCAAATCATTCTTTAGTTTCATTTTTCATTTTTCTAATATTTTCTAGTCATTTTTGATTGAGAAGAAAAAAAAATGAACGAAGAACGAAAAAATTCGGTATGTCAAGGGGAAATCTTTCTTATAAACTCTTATAAACTAAAAATTTTCAAGAATATCTTAATTTAATATTGAAAAATTATTGACAAACATAAGTATTTAAAAAAAAAAAAAACAAACGTCTTTAACTTTTTCTTTTCGAAAAATTTATAAAATGTTTAGATGAAAGTCGATTACACACATATGCATCATCGAATCGAGACTTTAAATGGAAAAGAGACAAAAAATGAAGGTTTCTTTGTCATTTGTTTAATCAAAAAACAAGAGAATCGATTTTTTGTTTGAAATTTTCTTTAAATCATTTCTTTAAATCATATCTTTAAATTTCTAAAGCTAAACTTAGTTTGTTAACTTACTGTTGACTTACTGTTAACTTACTGTTAATGTCCTGATATATGATATAATGTCTTGAATTAACTTACTGTTAACTGTTAATGTTAACTGTTAATCTTAACTGTTAATCTTAACTGTTAATGTTAACTGTTAATGTTAACTGTTAATGTTAACTGTTAATGTCTTGATATAGAGTGAAAAGTCTTCTTTCTTTTAACACAAAATTCAAGCCAGTTTAAGTCTAGAGAAGGCAAGGTTAAAACGAAGAAAACTAGTTCTGGAATAAGTCCGCTTATCGTTAAAAACTAGAGCTTGGTAATTGAAATGAAACTTTTTTTCAGTCGCTGTTCAACAAATCACAAACGGCTATCAAAATCAATCAGCTTTTTCCACAATCAATCAGCTTGGTCCATCTTTCCCCGCCATTCAGAGTAATTTCGATTTTGATCAAGGAAAATTGCAATTGAATATGAACGATCCACAGGTGGGTAGCCAAAAATTAATAAGAACTTGATAAGAAAAAAAAGGAGAGATCTCAAAGCATACTTTTCAGAGTAAAGTGTTTAGATTTGTGCTAGATTGTAAACGATTTGTGATTTGTGCTAGATTGTGCTAGATTTGTGCTAGATTTGTGCTAGATTTCTAGTATTGTCGCAAGAAAACTAAAGAATCTCAAATACCCCAGATTTATTTAGCAAATCGCTTGTAAAAATAGCAATAGAGCAATAGTTGAAGCTAGATTTGTGCTAGATTGTGCTAGATTTCTTAAATGTTAAATGTTCTCTAAAATCTTATTTTTTACAAGAAATTCTTGACAATTTCACCACATTGAATAAGTTTTTGGCTATAGAACAACAAAGGAAAGATCCCAAAGAAAGATCCCATACTTTTCAGAGTAAAGTGTTTAGTTTTGTGCTAGATTTGTGCTAGATTTGTGCTAGATTTGTGCTAGATTTCTAGTATTGTCGCAAGAAAACTAAAGAATCTCAAATACCCCAGATTGCGATTTGTTAACAATTTTACAACAGCTAGTACACCACAAACAGCGATCAAAATCAATCAGTCAAGCAAAATCAATCAATCTTTTGAGCTAGTCCACCTCAATTCCAAAATTGTTAAACATTTAACTTTGCAGGATATGAAAATCGCGAACGTCTTCAATCAGACAAAGGAAACATTCTCCAATATGTTATCAAAGGTTTGAAATCAAAAAATTCCTGAAAAATTGTAAAATTCAGGAGAAAAATGATTGGATTCAAAAGTTTCCGGAGTTATTTTCAAAGATGCGAACTCAATCGCAATTGATTCCGTCAACGATTACGGAGAAGGTGGTGAATCCGGATGGAAGTGTGACGACGAGGTTGAAGTCGAGTCACAGTATGAGGTGAGTGAAAGAGAATTGCTGGGGGGATTTCATGTAAATTAAATTGGATTCTTTATAATGAAAAGGATATCTATCTTCTAGATAAATACCGTCAATACTGTAATTGCACCCCACCCCTCTAATAGTACCCCCTCTAATAGTACCCCCCTCTAATAGTACCCCCCTCTAATAGTACCCCCTCTAATAGTACCCCCCTCTAATAGTACCCCCTCTAATAGTACCCCCCTCTAATAGTACCCCCTCTAATAGTACCCCCACCCTAGAAGGGGAGGGAAAAAATAGTACCCCATGGGGTCCAATTACAGTATTTACGGTAGGTGTTTCCTTTTTAACCCGTAAAGAATCCGGTTTTGCTGTTTTCGGTGTCAATGTCAATGTCAATACGCCCAAAGTTCTGATTTCGATTTTTTGATTGTGATAGTTGTAAACTGAGTAAATTGAGAGAACAATGATAGTGAATTGAGTTTACCCTAAGTAACCTTGCGTTTAAAATTAGCCTCCATTTCCTTTTTTTTCTCACTTTTCCCTTTCCCAACTATTGTAAGCCACAGACGGGGTGTTAAAAGTGCGAAAAATCGAGTAAGAGAGTTCTCTTTGTTGGGGGAAAAAAAGGAGAATGGACCTCATTCTTTTTTTCTCGAAAATTCCCTATGCAAATCCATTGCATTTCGATCGATTTCCCTGCTAGAGCCAATTGAAAGTTCATTTGTGAAAGTTCAAATCTTTAATCTTAATCTACAACTAAAATTTCAACGATTTCTTCGTGAGTTTTTTGAGATTTCTAGATTTCTAGATATCGATCTTGAATCTATCTATGAATAGTCACAAGAGAGAGCTTTCTGATTTAAAATAAATCAAGATTTGAGCATAAAACTTCAAAATGACAATTTCGATCTTCATAGCACTTCAAAAATACCAAAACAAAACAAAGCTTATAGATTTATAAGGCACTTTTCAAAGGCTTCTTCTAAGTTTTGTTAAAAATTCAATGACTTTCAACTTTTAAAAAGTTATGTAAGGCTTTTCTATTCATAGAAACATACTCGATTATTCATTTTTAGCTTTTGTTCTGTTCAGTTTTGGTATTTGTGCTATGAAGATTGTCATTTTGAAGTTTTAAGCTCAAATCTTGATTTATTTTAAATCAGAAAGCTCTCTCTTTTTACTATTCATTGATAGTTATCAGTTACTCAAGAAAGTTTTTTTTTGATTTCAACAGTTCAACATTCTCCTTTATCATTATATTGCTATATCGCTGATATAGTGATATAGTGATATAGTGATAAAGGAGAATGTTGAACTGTTGAAGCGATATAGCGATATAGTGATGCGTTGGTACTCGATTAAACAAAAGTCTTATAGTTTTCTAAAACATCAATAAAATCATAAAAAGAAAACATTATTCAAGCCTAACTTTCAGTTCGCAGTGGAGCCGTCAAGAAACATACATAAATGGAGTGAAGCAAATGTCGAAAAGTCGTTTCCGAGCATTCGTCGAGTACAAAGTGAGTGTGGTCTTTAAATCTCACAAACAAAATCTTGTTTTGGAAATTTATCTGATTTGAATTATTTGAGATTAAGCCTATCGGTTCTGTATTTCCAATGAATGAAATTTTTTCACTAGATGTGTACGAAATCTTTGTAATCGGCTTCTGCGAACATGGCTAGATTCGAGTGATTCGTTAATGGCTAGCCCTTAACGAATCATTCGTTAGCGGCTGAATTTCGTAAACGGCTACGACATAGATTAGGTTGTCCAGTTATGAATGCGCGCCTGCTCTTGAACAGCGTAGCTTAGGGCTATACAATTTTATCAAACCTTATTCTCTATATGCTGTTCAAGATTTCTTATTTATTACAACTTTTCGTGTTTTTGACGACGTTAAACTAATTCATTTTTGATTTAATTTCCATGTTTAGATGACCGAGACGAAGTTTCGTCTTTGTGCCAGTCTTTGGTATGACTTCAAATTGGGCAAAAATGCCGTTGAATCTCATCGCGATCTCTGCAAAGTATTTGGCGAAGATGCTATTTTGGAAAGCCAGTGTCGCCGATGGTTTCAACGATTTCGAGAAGGAAATGAATCTTTGGAAGACGAAGACCACCAACGACGACCTCCTGCGATCGATAATGCAGTACTGAAGCAGGCGATAGAAATGGATCCTCGACAAACTACACGTGAATTTGCAGAAATATTTAGAGTAAGCCCTCAAACAATTTCCGAGCATTTAAATCAATTGAGGAAAACAAGCCGACAAGGGAAATGGGTTCCTCATCTTCTCAGCAATGCCAATAAAGCTACTCGTGTCACTATGGCTGGTATTCTTCTTCGTTTGGCAAAAAATACTGAGTTTTACGATGAAATCCTTACTTGCGATGAAAAATGGATTCCATATGATAATTCTACACGAAAACGGCAATGGCTAAAACCTGGTGAGGAGCCAATACCAACACCAAAACCCGACTTCCATAGCAAGAAAGTAATGCTTACTGTCTGGTGGAATTCCCAAGGCATTGTTTATTTTGAGCTGCTTAAACCTGGACAAACAATCACGGGTGAAACGTATGCACAACAACTGGAACGAGTGAACAATGTATTGCTACAAAAAGGCCTTGATCCCTCAAACATAAAGTTGATTCAAGATAACGCCCGTCCACACGTTGCAAAGATTGTTCAGGAAAAACTCGAAGAGTTGGGCTGGGAAACTCTCCCGCATCCGCCATATTCTCCGGATATTTCTCCTTCGGATTACCATTTATTTCGTTCAATGCGAAACCATTTGGCTGGAAACAAGTTCAAAGAAGTGTTCAAGAGGTCGAAAAATGGATAGCCGACTTCTTTGCCTCAAAACAAGCCAATTTTTTACGCGGAGGGAATTCATTCTTTGCATGGAAGATGGAAACAAATATTGTTAACAAATGGTGAATATATTGTTGATTGAGCTGTTAAACTGTTGGTTTTAAAATAAAGAGTTGTTATCTTAAAAACGTGCATTTATAACTGGACAACCTAATATATATATTTTATGTATTTATGTATGTATTGTTTAATTTCAGGGACCCGACGGCGGTTTCAAGGTGAAACTCTCGGATGAGGGCGAGGAGGATTTGAGTGAGGAGGAGAACGACGAAGATGAGCACTCAACCAGCACGTGGGTGTTTAGAATTATAAAAAAAATAGATCAATATTGTTTAGTTTACATTAAATAATCAATTTTATATGTAAATTAGCATAAAAGAAGTCAAAAATTGAATAAATTGAAAGATTCAAGCACAAAGTTGAGCCAAGCTTTTGCTGCTCATTTCTGGGTTTTTCAGTGAGGATTTGCTTTAGAAATATAAAATAAAAGATGAAAAATACAAAAGTATATCGATTTTTACAGTCACAGCGGTTCTGAGGACACGGAATCGGTTTTTTCGATTTCTTCGCAAATCCCAGGAATTAAAGCGATCAAACCGGCGTCTGTCGGGAAAAAGAAAACCGATCGGGTGAGAATTTTAATAATATATATGAATTTAATGATTTAAATTTATATATTGATATCAAAATGCAAATTTCTAGGCTCAAATGGCCGCCAAGGAGCTGGTGGATTCCGAGCAGCGATATGTTGACAAATTGAGACTTTTGGATCAAGTGAGCTTAGAAAAAAAGCTCGAAAAAAGCTTTAAAAAGCTTAAAAATCAAGTACTAGAGAAATTGATAGGTTTATATTTATTATTTAATAAATAAATTCTTTTTAGATGTTTCGATTAGAGGTGGAAGCGATGGAGAAAGCTGGTGACATCGAGAAAGGAAAAGTGAGCTCGAGACATTTCATTCAATGTACTTTGTACTAATATAAAAACATCCTTTCTGAAAATTTTCCCTTTTCTCGTTAATCCCCATGAATGATTGGAGAAAATTGGAGAATTTGAAGTGCGGTAGAAAGGCTGTGTTTGCTCTATGAACACTTCAGTCTAGAGATGTGAAATTCCACCTTTTCTCAGCTGTTTCTAGCCTGATTGTCCTGTAATTTTGGCTGTAGACTTGCTGATTCTTTAGAGATCTTTAGAGATAGAGATCGTTAGAGATAGAGATCTTTAGAGATAGAGATCTTTAGAGATAGAGATCTTTAGAGATAGAGATAGAGATCTTTAGAGAGAGAGATAGAGATCTTTAGAGATAGAGATAGAGATCTTTAGAGATAGAGATAGAGATCTTTAGAGATAGAGATAGAGATCTTTAGAGATAGAGATCTTTAGAGATAGAGATCTTTAGAGATAGAGATAGAGATCTTTAGAGATAGAGATAGAGATCTTTAGAGATAGAGATAGAGATCTTTAGAGATAGAGATCTTTAGAGATAGAGATCTTTCGACAAAATTTTACAAAAAGAAAAGAGCTAAGAAAGTTAAGAGCTAAGAAAATGAGCTAAGAAAACGAGCTAAGAAAACGAATCATTCAATTCGTTTGAAACTGGAAGAACTGGTGAAACTAGAATGGAAGTTGTCTAGTAAACTTAAAAACAAGCTTTTTCCCTTTATTCGAAACTTTTAGGTGAGTAAACTGTTCTCAAACATCTCCTCTCTGCACACTTTCCACAACACTCATCTCCTGCCGCAGTTGATGGACGCAAATCGATCGTGGAATAATACGAGAAGGTGGGGAGAATGATTTCAAAGTATTTCAAAGATACAGAGTAGTATGGCTTTATTTCTTTTAACTGAATAGCTTGAAAGCATGGTTAATTTCAATGTTTTAATGATGGAAATTTTAATTTATAAGAATTATTTCAGAATCTCGCATGTGATGAAAAAGTTGGCACCTTTTTTGAAGATGTATTCGGAATACACAAATAATTACAATGATTCTGTGAAAGTTTTCGAAGAATTGCGAGGAAAAAACAAGAAATTCGCTGATTTGGTCGCTAAATTGGAAAGGTTTGTGGAAATTAGATGCTTGGAAAAAGTTAGAACGCTTGTGTTTCCATTAGAAACCTTATGTTTCCCTTTTTTTTCCCTTTTTTCCCTTTTAAAAAAGCTTTTAGATTACCCGAATGCGACAATTTGCCCCTTTCATCGCATTTGATTTGTCCAGTGCAACGAGTGATGCGCTATCAACTATTGTTACAAGTTCGTTTTGTGAAAAAAACAAAATAAGTTCAGATAGCTTAGATAGAAAAAACAAAATAAGCTTAGATTTAGCAAAATATAGCAATTGGTTATAGCAAATTTTAAGGAATACAAGAAACATTTGAACAAAAGTGATGTCGATTTTGCGGACACCGACGAAGCGTTGGGATTGGTGTTGAAAGCGGCCGAGCATGCGAATGAGACAATGAGGAAATTGGTGGGTACGCTTGGCAACTATCTACCCTACCCTATAGCAGCTACAGTATTCACTTCGCCACGTAGAATAGACGATTCATAAATACGGTTACGGTAGGGTATGCTTTAGAACAAAGATCAGAGAGTTTCGATCTTGAATTCAAGGCAGCTTTGAGTTTTTTTTTTGAAGAAAATTCGTGTAAAAACTGTAAGTACCATTTTTTTATTTGAAGAAATTTCTTAATTATTTCAGGAACGTTATCGAAAAGTGATCGAGATGCAAGAGCTGCTGGGAAATTCGCTTCCATTGGTGTCCGTTGGAAGGGAATTCATTGAGATGGGTCCAATACAAAAGATCAACTCGGGTACGCATAAACCGGAGGAAAGGTGAGAAAAAGTTTTTGGTAAACTTTTCAAAAAAAACCTTGTAGATATCTTTTCTTGTTCAACGATTTGGTTCTATTGGGTGTGAAGGGAATTGTGAGTAAATATCGAGTGAGAGCACGATTTGAGGCACTTCATACAAGGGTTTGTTTGGAAGATCGTGTACTTTGCGCTCAATCCTTTCTGGATTGAAACCCATCCTTTCTGGCGCATTAAAACAGCCATTTATCTCGGCTTTCGAAGAATTCAGTGCGCCAGAAAGGGTTTGTTTCGAGCAGAAAGAAGATTTAGAGAAATTTTCAAAGAAAACTCTATCAATGAACTTTTCAGATCTGTGAAGGGGACAATCTCGAACGGGAGCACTCGTTTTATTTGCGAGGTAGCTACGGGAGTGAACCGCAGAGGTAAAAGTTTAGAAGTGGAGTTAGAATTGGATGATTCTAATCAAATTCTAATGCTAAAGTGTTTGCAGATGTGTTGAACTGTTCGCTGACAGTCGAGACGTCAAAGAGAAATGGATGCGTAAACTGCAAGAAGTGATCACAAAATCTCGAGACAATTCGGCGTCTTTCAGCAAACATGGAAGCAAGGTCAGATCCACAAAAGGAATTTTTCTTTCTAGGACTTGAACCCATTCTATAAGTTATGGATTAGCTAATAGATAAGCTAATGGATAAGGTGATGGATAAGCTGAGGGATAAGCTAATGGATAAGCTAATGGATAAGGTGATGGATAAGGTGATGGATAAGCTGATGGATAAGCTGAGGGATAAGCTAATGGATAAGGTGATGGATAAGCTGATGGATAAGCTAATGGATAAGCTAATGGATAAGGTGATGGATAAGGTGATGGATAAGCTGATGGATAAGCTAATGGATAAGGTGATGGATAAGCTGAGGGATAAGTTAATGGATAAGCTAATGGATAAGCTAATGGAAAATCCGAGTTGACGATACTATATTATTGGTTTGAAATTTCAGCGAAGTTCAATCTCGGAAACAAAATCGAATAACTCAAAGTACTGTGCCGAGTGTGATGCCGAGTTGGGATTCATGAAAAAGGTAAGAGATTCGAGATTTTACAATAGCTGAATAAGGGCAAAATAAGCTCAATAGCTGAATAAGGGCAAAATAACAGTAACTTCACTAATCGTTGATTCAAAACAAACTTACTTGTTCGCTAAAAGCAAGAGAAGCAAAAAACAGAGTTTATGGTAACACGCCAACCATTTATCTCTTCAAATCTCTCTTCTTATCCATCCAAATTTTAGCTTTTCAAATCGAAATGCTCAAAATGCAATCGGAAACTCTGCGACAAGTGCCTCGGGCGATACAAGAGTGACGGGAAAAAGGGGAAAATCTGTGAAGCTTGTGTAAAGAATACCTTGGTGAGTTTAGAAAATAGTAGAAAATGGGCTAATTCTAGAATAATATTCAGTTCTTTTATTCAGAATTCGGATACGCTTCGAAACGCGGCGGCGATGATGCGCGGTGATGTGCTTGATAAGCCGCCAAAGGGTGACGGAGTTTTGCATGGATCGGAAGTTCGATTCAAGGTAGTTTCAAGGTTTTATATGTAAATTTTCACCTTAAATCTTCTAGGGTTCTCTGGGGAAACCGTTCAAGCGATATTTCGCGGTGAGAAACGATTTCTGTTTGTACTCGTATGAATCAGAAAAGGTTAGTGTTGAGGAAGGGAAATAGATAAATGTAAAAGATGGAATTGATTGTGATTGTGATTGTGGATTGTGAAAGGCTTTGAATTCTATTCTATTTGAATTCTAATTCTATTCTATTCGAATTTTCAGCACAATCGAGCCGTCTCAATGCTTCCATTGCCTGGAGCTGAGGTGAAGATGTGCGGCGAGAAGTTGAGCTTTCAGGTCAGAAGAATTGAGAGATTTTTGAAGAAAATATAAGATAATTGATAGATAAATAGATAAATAGATAAATAGATAAATAGATAAATAGATAAAATATAATACAATAGATCGAATATAATGCCAAAATATCCTTTCAGCTTCGAGTGGGAACAAGACGATTGTATACGATCTCTGTCGATGATGAAACAACACAAGCAAAGTGGGGGTTTTCAGTAAGAAAAGCTATTTTTCGATATTTATAAAGGATTTTGCAAGTTTCCAATTGATCAATGACAAAGCGATGATGCTTTAAAGTTTTTAGTTCAATATTTGTGATAATGAAAACTAATTAATAACATGGTGTAGGAGTCAAAAATTTCATCAACTCCTCTTACAAAATTCATTTTTCAGATGGATGGCCGTTTTGGATTTGGCAGCGAATGCGCAACTCAGCCAATCAGACACCGAATGAGCAAATCTTTTAACAACAATTCCCTAAATTCTTCCCAAAAAAACCTCAAATCCTGACTACGGTTGTAATTTCGCCATTTTCATGTACTTTTTGTCCAATTCTTCACCCAATTCTTCACCCAATTCAGATGAAAACATATCAGTGAAAATCTTTCCGTCTCCTTTTTAGGTTTAGCCAATTGGTTAGGGGTTAGATTGTGGGGAAATTGAACCAGAGGGAAGAGTCGGGTTCAGCTTTCGATGTTTGGACAGTTTTTAGGCCAAGTTTAGAGTCAGGTTTGTAGTAAGCAAAGCTAGAGTTGGCTTAGTCCATAAAAAACTATCAGAAATCGCTAAAAATCTGACCCTGGCCTTAGCCTCGCCTAGCTTACAGCCCGAGGATCCCAGTAGTAGACCAGGGTCAAGGCCAGACCATGAAAAATTGGCACCTTATCCCTGAAGAATTTAACTAGATACAGATATAGATATAGTAGTCCAACTGGAGGTAAAAATCCGGTTACAGTGTTGTTTCAAGTTGATCAAGTCGATCAAGTCGATCAAGTCGATCAAGTCGATCAATAGTCGATCAAGTCAAGTCGATCAAGTCGATCAAAATCCATCAAATCAGAGTTAAAAGCTAAATTCCCAGGTCAAGGTATACTTATCGAATAGATTTTCATGTTTTGACCTGACTTACACTCGTTTAAAGACCATGAATTAGTCTTGAGGATCAGCTCAGTCCCAACTCTATCACTGGTTCAATTACCCATCACCATTCTTTCCATCTTTTACCCTATCTTTCCAAATCGTGGAATCTCGTGCTGAAAAAACTCACTTCAAGCAAATATTAAATCCTTTTGTGTACAAATTACGAATTTTTATGTAAATATTGCTTCTCATTTCAATTTCTCGTCCTTTCTCACCAAAGGAATGTGCAATGCCATTTTTTTGCAGCTGTTTGATAAATTTTATCAGTGAACAAAGGAATATAACGAGAATCTCAAGCAGTAAACAAAAAATTTCAAAAAAAAACCAGCAATGTCGGAGTAATTTGATTGATAAATCAATCAAATCAATCAAATCAATCAAATCAATCAAATCAATCAAATCAATCAATCAATTTCAATCAATTCATCATCAATCAATCAATTCAATCAATTCAATCAATTCAATCAATCAATTTCAATCAATTCAATTCAATCAATCAATTCAATCAATTTAATCAATTCAATCAATTCAATCAATTTCAATCAATTTCAATCAATTTCAATCAATCAAATCAATCAATCAAATCAATCAATCAAATCAATCAATCAAATCAATCAATCAAATCAATCAATCAAATCAATCAATCAAATCAATCATCAAATCAATCATCATCAATCAATCAATCAATCAATCAATCAATCAATCAAATCAATCAATCAAATCAATCAATCAAATCAATCAATCAAATCAATCAAATCAATCAAATCAATCAAATCAATCAATCAAATCAATCAATCAAATCAATCAATCAAATCAATCAATCAAATCAATCAATCAAATCAATCAATCAAATCAATCAATCAAATCAATCAATCAAATCAATCAAATCAATCAAATCAATCAAATCAATCAAATCAATTCAATCAATCAAATCAATCAATCAAATCAATCAATCAAATCAATCAATCAAATCAATCAATCAAATCAATCAATCAAATCAATCAATCAAATCAATCAATCAAATCAATCAATCAAATCAATCAATCAAATCAATCAATCAAATCAATCAATCAAATCAATCAATCAAATCAATCAATCAAATCAATCAATCAAATCAATCAATCAAATCAATCAATCAAATCAATCAATCAAATCAATCAATCAAATCAATCAATCAAATCAATCAATCAAATCAATCAAATCAATCAAATCAATCAAATCAATCAAATCAATTCAATCAATCAAATCAATCAAATCAAATTAAAAATTTTGAAATCAACTTAATCGAACGTAACATATAAATGATGGGGTTTTCAATGATTTTCATTTTTTCTCCTTTCCATTAAATGAATATGAAATGTGTAAATTTTATCAATTAAACACGTTAATTTTATTAATCTATAGCAAAAATATTATCAAATTATATAATCATGAAGAACATCATCAAGAACAGAGTTTTGATTGTAATAAAAGAAAAAGAAATGTGGAAAAATAAAAGAATCCAAGAAATGACATCATAACCATAAATCTACATACGTAGCTTACAATTTGCATTTCAATTTTTATTTCGATTTTTATCTATCATCTATTTGTGACTCTAGCCGACATAATTTTGTCTGTCTGTAAACATCGTAAATTTGCATTTAACTGTCAAACAGTTAACAGTGAAGTGAACGGTGAAGTGAACAGTGAAGTGAACAGTTCAAAACGCAACATTAGCAAAAGCTTTTCTTGATATCAAGCATATTAATGGGGGAAACAACACTACTGCATGGGCAATTCATCTGCCGATCATTTAATATAGCATCAATAAAGAAAACACTAATACATACAGTACTGGACAATGAAATATCAATATTTGAAAAACGATCGTCACTTTCGCGCGTCTGTAACTCCCTTGTCTTTGAGTTTAAACTATTAGTGTTATACATTTTCTGAAAGCTCTTTTCAAGGGCTACACAATGGTAATATTAATATTTAGAAATACGGTAAAGACAAGGGAGTTATAGACGCGCGAAAGTGACGATCTTTTTTCAAATATGGATATTTCATTGTCCAGTAGTGTAAATGATGAGATTTTCAATGATTTTCATTTTTTGTCCTTTCCATTAAATGAAAATGAAATGTGTCAATTTTATCAATTAAACACATTAATTTTATTAATCTATAGCAAAAATATTATCAAATTATATAATTAAGATAAGGCAAAGCTTTCAAAAATATAAATATTTGGTAGTTTTAGCAAAAAGAAGACACGTATTTTAAGACCCGAAAAGCAAAAAAAAAAAAAAAAAGGGGGAAAGACTAGGAAATTTGCATTTAATTTAAAATAAATGTAATGTTTTTTATATATGATAGCATAGAATTAGAATTAGAATTATAATTATAAAGTGTACGGTGGTGGCGGGTCTTCGGTTCTTGTGAGCACTGTTTCCGTGTATGGGGAGGGGCTCGTTGCACGTGAATCTGCAAGAAAATCGATTGTAACTAGGCGTTGTAACTTTGCGCTTAGACAAACAGATAAACACATCCCTTCTAGTGCACTGAAGCGTTTATTTTCTTACAATGCTAGATTGTTTCTGTAAAAGTGAGCTGTAGAAAGGCTTTCAGCTTTCAGCTCGACTTTCAGCTTTCCTTCTTGACGTACCTTGTGCTTAAAAGTAAACGCATCACTTCTGGTGCTTAAAAGTAAACGCATCGCTTCTGGTGTACTTAATTCCGTATTTTTCTTGGAGAAATGAGTGATTTTCTACTTAAAAATGAAAATATGCCTAAAAAGGTACGAAAATATGCCCAGCACAAAATCTATTAAACTAGAGTTAAAGAGTTAAAAGTTAACGACATTTCCTCAAACTAAAGTAAGCCAAAATCAAATTAGATATATGATTAATAAAGTAAAATTAGAACTAAAGAATTTCCATCATCACACCTTGAAATCAAAAGCTTGACTCTCGATCGAGTTTCCTCTACGTCGATCTCTTCGCGGACAGCCACCGGTTCTAAAACATTCTTGAGTCTTATAAAGAATACATTTATTTACACGAATAACATAGTACAAATAATACATACCGTAAATACTGTAAGCGTACCCCACCCCCATAATGACGGTGCGGAGTGTTGTGTAGTCTAGCTTTGAACGCGTTTTTCTCGACACTGGTTGATGCTACAATGCGCGTTTAGGTATCAAAAAATAGCTGAAATTCAGGGCTATTTTTGATACCAAAGACGCATTTTTGAAAGTACGGGTGCTTTGAAAAAAATGAAATACTAAAAAACTTACGACTTACGACTGCGACTACGCGACTGTACGAGGGCGGTGGGGTACTATTACAGTATTTACGGTAAGCACAACCCTTAAGCCTAAATATAGAAAAGAAAAATCCATATATATCTAGAAAAAACCAATAATCTAGCCAGCGGGATTGAACCCGTTGGTTAGATTTTTGGCTCTCCACTAAGATACAGAGCTTTTAGCCAGTGCCGACTGGCTAAAAGCTCTGTATCTTAGTCGCATGGCAACCAATGGCATCTTGTGATAATAACTAAACACACAATTTAAGGACTATTTTGTTTGCGGAGATATCTAGACCATTTCAAAGTGACTATCAGCCAATTTTTGTAAATGTTGCTCGTCTGGATTACTGGCGATAGATAATAAATACTTGTATTATTATAAAATAGTGAAAACTCACTGAAAAAACAATCGCAATCCACAGAATACCCCGGACATGAGAAGGATGATTGAGATGAGAAGGACAGCTTGCGGTAGATACGGAATCGTTTCCGACCAAGCTGAAAGCATGAATAAGAATTGGAGATTCTTGAATTTTCGTTAATTTTACAGGATATTGTTTTGGTCTCCCCCGCGCACAAGTCTTTATTGAACGCTTGGAGAAAATTCAGAGGAGGTTCACAAAAGTCGTTTTATGGAAAATTGACTATTCTAAATATTCTAGCTTTACTTATGAGGAGAGACTTGCTTTTTTTGAACTAAAAACTTTACAGCATCGTCGCTTTGTCATTGATTTAGTCGAAACTTTCAAAATCCTCCGTTGTAAACAGATTAGCCCTTTGTTTATAGACTTTTTCAAATTTAAAGCGCGGTCAGGGCCCAGAAGTGGCTCATTCCTTTTGCAAATTCCCTTTGCTTCCAATGCCTCTTTATCAAATTCATTTCCCGTTAGAGCCGCTAGATTATGGAACTTGCTCCCAAACGACATACGTGAAATTCAGTCGCTTTTTCATATTCAAGAAACGTATCGATGCTTTAGATCTAGTGGCTCTTTGCCGTAAGTAATTGGCTTATTGATT